GACATTCTATATCTTAAAAATTAAATAATGTCACTTACTGAGTAACATTCTAATTTTGAATGCTATTAAATTGAAGCTAGAATATGAAACCTGATTCAGGCTTAGGAAATATGATGAAAATGTTTGTGTTGTTAATAAATGTGTTTGCTGGAAATGCAAGGATGTTGTTGAGAATTACAGGTTAATCATAGTTCCAGCTTTGTTCATTGTTATTCAGTTATTTTTGAATCAGTTTGCAGTCTTATTAGTGAAAAAAACAGCACACACTTCCAGTTATTATTGTACATGTAACATTTTACATTGATTCAAATTTCAGAATCAAAGAACTACTATTGGTAACTGCATTATTAATAATCATACTGAGACTACCTATACAGAACAGTAAAAGTTTATTTCTCAGTCTTCAGTCTTCTTAATTGACTTTCAAAAATTTATAATTCAAAAACAAATGAAAATGTTAATTTATTCTAGAAAGTCAATTAAGAAGGCCAAAAACATTTGAGAAATAAACTTCACTGCATCATAAAGGTAGTCATACTATAGTCAACAAAGAATGTTTGAATATTCTTTCTTCATTCTAATATATTGATCTATGAAAAGGAGTTGGTGATCTGAACTCTTTCCAAACTTTGAATGTCATAGAGCCAAATCCAGCAGAGACTTTTGGAGGACGACATTAGAGTTTCTAAAGGTACAATCTCTAACAACTTAAATGATGTCAAAATCACCTGGAAATCACACAGAGAAAACCAACCTATTCCAAAGAAAAGATGACCAGACATGGCTAGAACAAAGAAGCTCATCGAAAAGGTAAAGAATTCCATAACTTCACCAAATCCTCTGACCCAAATAGCATTGGCAAAGAAGTATCAAGTGTTACCATCATTCATTAATCACATTACAGTATTCATAAGATTTGAACATGAACAAACTGGTAAAGACCAATGTTCATAAGCTATCAGATTACAACAAAAAAAAAAATTACCATACAAGAACAACACAAAACAGTTGAATGAAATGCATTTGGCAAACAAAAGAAGTAAATTTGCTGTGACTTTGGATGAATGTTGTGTGTACCTGAATTTTAATAACACCTAAAAAATTTTCTCCGTGAAACACAGAGAAGATTGGGTATGTTAACATAGAGAAAACTATTCACAATAATTCACTTGCAGATTGTTTGTTGGGAAAAGACCCACTTCTGCTTATTAGAGTATTCTTGATAGTGAAAATATCTGGACAGTACTATATTGATCACATTCTGAAACCATTGTTTGAAGACCATCTGCCATATACTTTATGTACTGCAAAGATATGCACAAAGTGTTTCTGCATCATGACACAACAAGCTCACATACCTGTGGTTGACAGAACAATCTTGAGAACTTCCTTCAGAAAATGGAATTAGCTACAACAATGAGAAGGACATATCAATAAACAGTTGCAATGCCATTCATGTTGACTTCTTTGGCTTTGATTGGCTGAAACAGAAAATGTTTAACCAAAACAACAACATTAGATGGTGTTTGGAAAGTTTCACATAGGAGTGGTTCAATATTTATATTGAAATGGTCAGAAAGCTGATCAATTTGAGAAAATAGCATTGTCAGGCAATTTACAGAAATAACAGAAAGCATGTTGAGCAAATATAAAATATACATAAGCATTTGTTACGTTGACTTCTTTCATAATAAATGTGTTCAAAAATAACCAAAAAAACTCTGATCTATTTACAATCTCATTAAAATAACTGTAGTTTATGAAACTTACAATTTCATTAAAATGAAGATTTCTCTGTCCCTTCCACTTTATCAAGAGTCTTCTGTATTATATATTAGTGAATAAATTTATTTATATGTAATGATTAAGAATAACAAACAGAAAAAAAGTATTTTAATAATTTACAAATGTGACACTACTTGGAAACAAGGATTTGTTGTTTCATATTAAATGTCAATTTAATATGAAAATACAAAGCAATCAAATCATTGGAGTATTCATATCATCTATCATCAGCAAAAATTAATAGAACTAGGATTATTGACATTAATTAAAAACATAGATAATTACTTACAAAAATTGTAATATATATACTGAATTTACTAAATATGTTAATTTATTTTTAAAATAGACTTACGAACAAACCAGCATTTGCTTCCTCTCTCAATTGCTTTACTTCTCCTGTGGAATAATTTGTATTAAAAATATTAATTAAAATTAAAAATATTAATGCTTTTTTTGACTTCAGAGACTTAAACTAACCAACTGCAAGTCCATCGGCGACCAAATTCAACAATGAGTACTAACTGGATAATGATGAACAGAAAAGCTCCAGACATTCCTACATATCTCCAAACTTAAAATAAAAACTAAAATTAATTATTCAGAGAATAGGCAAACTTAATTCATTTTAATTAATCTCAAAATTCTTTAAATATATACTTTTGAAAAATAATAACCTTTACTGAACCAATTTAACATTTCTGGTGAGAGAAGAAAAATTGAGAAGCAAATGCCACACAAAAACAAAAATTTCCAAAGCCACATTCTAAAATTAAAAATAAAAACAATTATTAATTAGAATAATGATATTAACCTCTTTTTCATTCATTATTAATAGAGATGCCACGGATATTCGGCTACTATTCGGTATTCGGCCTATTCGGCTACTTTTTTTAATATTCGGTATTCGGCCGAATAGTATGCAACATTCGGCCGAATACCAAATACCAAATCATGAAAAAAACCGCACATATTACTCAAAAAAACGTATTTATTTTAATCATAAATTATTACATTTAATACTTAAAATCTATCAGTGGTAAGTTGTAATGAATGAAAACAATTTTTTCACATTTGTTGATAGCAAACGATTGCGCTTTTCCTCATAAACTATACCTGCTTCTGAAAATAGCCTCTCACTATATACACTACTGCCGGGAGACGTAGATAAATCTTAGCGAATTCTGTCAGGCTTAGATACTGTTTTGCGTTTGCTGACCACCACTTGTAAAGGTGGTCAGCAAACGCAATCCGATCTAGGCGAACAGTTTTCATATAAAGTGATACAGTGATATTTTTTAGTAATAATTAGTAACACAATTTGATGTAACAATGAACAAATAATGCATGTTGTGACATGATCTACTCGCAAATAAAAGAAATGTGCCCGCAGTGTCGCTACCGCACCCACCGCAATGTATCAGGTCGTAACATATCACCCGCTTAATGTACACATATTTTGCCGAACATTCGGCCGCCGAATATTCGGCGCTTCGGCCGCCGAATATTCGGCGCTTCGGCCAAGAGCGTAGCCGAATGTTCGGTATTCGGTATTCGGCAAAATCACTATTCGTGGCATCACTAATTATTAATGATAAACACAAAAATTTGATTGTAAAAATCTATTTTAGTACAGGAATGAATGTCATATTCCAATGTAACTTTTCAAGTGTTACAAAAACATTTGAAAGTTAGTTAAATGCATGTTATCAAAACTCAAAAAAGATTTTAATTACAGTCGATTCCACTTAATTAATTGGGACACGTTGGGACTAATCCATTTTAGCCCAATTAAGCAGCTGCCTCAATTAAACAAACTAATAATAAATTCTAAAATAAAAAATGTAATATGCAGGTAAATAAATAAGTAGGTAAAAAAATAATAATTAGGTTCCTATTTTAATTCTTTATTAAACCAAAATACAGGAAATATTTGTACTATAAATTTGCCAGACTCAGGATGATAGATAACTGATTTGCATCACCCTAGTGTTGCCAAATACAGTATCAGTAGTAATGTACACAAGGGTTGACCGTTCGATTCATTCCTGATCAAACGATTTTTTTCTTCCTTTTTAGCTTGAACATGTTCTAACTAAAAAGGGTTGTCCAAAAGTCACCTTATGGTCTTCCTTTCAGCACAGTTTCCTTTACTTAGAGATGAGCCACTTCAGTGGAAGCATCCGTAGAATCTGCCAGCTCCGGATGCTGGTCTCAACGATCAGATGGCTGCTGTTCAAATCTAGACATAATCATGCGCACAATACCTTCCAAAACAACTCTAGCTGTCTTCCAACTCAGTCTAGAGACCTCGAAAAATTGTCCGGGACTTTTTGTCCCTTTGCTTATATGGGGATCGTCCGGTCCAATCCAGAGCAGTGTCAGTAGCTCGCATTCAGGTCCGCATCAGACAGGATCCCCGTGCGATACAGGATTCCACTATGCTGACCCCCTCCTATTCTTTGGGATATGGCCCAATTAAAAGGAATCAACTGTATTTGATTTTTGTTCTACTTGTTCTATATGATCATAATTCAAATTTATTTAGCAATTAAATATTAAATGAATTATTATAAAAATTTGTATATTTTATCCATTATGTTTTGAGATTTCTAAAATTTTACATGAATTACTCAATTCAATTCATTATTCCTTAAGGTTTAAAACCCCCTGAAATGAGGGAGAATACATTAGTTAACATTTTGTTTAACAAATTATATGAAAACAACATGTGAGTCGATACATCTTTAACAAAATAATACCACTCAATATCATCTTTATAAATAACAAAAGTAAGGTTATAATTAAATTTCCAATCTAATGTGTGAAAATTTAATACAAAAAAAAAAGTAAATGTTGTAATGAATAACTACTAGTTTTACAAAACTGACACAAATCTGAACTGAATAAAAGAATACCGATGTTTTTCCATTAAAAAATTCTTAAATTTTTTAATGGAAATAAAAAATTCTTAAATTTAATTTAATTTAAAATTTTTAAACTTAATAATTTAAAAATTATTAAATTTAATTTAAAAAATTCCAATAAAAAAGAACTTATTTAGCCAGAGTTGAATAAAACATTTTTTCATATTAAAACTGATGTTCCAATTATAAATTGCTGGAGAGTCAGAAATAGCCAGAAAAACAGAGTACCTATTTTAGCTGAATTGTTTCTGAGTAAATATTCTTGAAAGTTATATAAGTATGTCTCCAGATAAGATTCCAGCAGTCTTAAAGAAAAACCTGCTAAATGCAAAATATTGTCAAGTTGAGTATACCAGTTGTTATGTTTCTTTTCACTAAGTTCTTTTAACTTTAAACATGCTGAATAATCCAGTGAAAGCAAGTCTTTAAATATCCTTCTTATATAATTAAGCATGCTTTTTAATACATTAATCCTAATACCATGAAGATTTAGTTCTGCTTTCAAGGAATAATAAGGTATGGAGTGATCTAAACTAAATAGCTTTTTATAATACATCACATGCAAGAGCATTGCCAGCCAATTGGCCAGGGGAGACAAGATGATATAAATTGATAGATGATACGAATTGCATGTAGGTAAAATAAAAACGATTTGTAAAGTTTTAATCATTTACTATGTACTAGAGAAGAAATATCTTAATAAAAATATTTTTTTTTAAACTTACAAGAAGCCTAAGAAGATTATTTTAATTAAAACATAGCATTTAAATAATTTTTTCAAATTTCTAGAGGGGCAGCTGTCCCCTCCTGCCCCCTGATCATATGTAATTTTGATCATATGTAATTTTGATCATATGTAATTTTGGTAAATTGATAAATTGCAAAATGCCCCAACTTTGAATTCCATACAGTGTGAGAAAAATTTTACATGAATTATTAATATCTTTACATTTTCCTTAAAGTATTTTTACTTTGATCTGGTAATAAGTCTTGTTAGGTCATAACTACACCCATTGCCAGAAAAAAATTCTTTAGCAATTTCACTAATTAGTTGTGAAAAATGTTAATCAAATTCAGAAAACTTTGGCACAATCATATTTTATAAAAATACTGACACTCTCGTTTCTGTATGTAAATATTTTATTATGATTCTCTACATTATTCCAGCAGAAACCATTTAATACAACTTAATGAAACTAACAGTTTTGGTTATGCGATATACTTCTTGTCTAGTCTAATGTTCAAATATACAAGCGCTAAGATGGCTTTTCTTTTCCGCTGGACTTATTACACCATCAATGAAACGGAGGACTAACTTTAGAAAGACTTTTTATTTATTTGAGTATGCATTTCGGATAATTATATCCCTTTTCAACTCTTGTGTTACAACTATACAGGGAAAATTAGCATAATGTATACAAGTTAACAAAATTTTACCATAATGTTACAAAATTGTAAAAGAACATTAGGAAACTTATATGGATTGTGAGAAATGCAGGAGTTGTGACATTAGATAAAATACGGATGGTGATTATTGATTAACAGGTATAAGCTACAATAATGGTTAAATTGGAAATGATTTAAAAAAGGGAACGATTAACATAGATGTAAAAATTTTTTTGAACTTACAGTGAACATGACAGCCTGGTACTGTACATAGTGTTGGAAAAAAACATTCCAGTATACATGACACAATGAGTTATTATAAAATTTGGGAACCTTGATCTTGGTTACAGTAAGGGTAATAGAAACCTTTTGGAACAACCAGTATGATGAAGTGAGGTTAGTGCACCATTAAAATAAAGGGAACAGAAAGAGATTGTTTTAGTTTACAGTAGAGTTTCACAGGGTGGGATGGTCCACAAATTGTAAGTGGGAGAGGACCTCCTTCACTCTTCTACAATTCCCTAACCCCTCAAAAACACCTGTTTTTCAATCCTCCCTTCCCTTACATCCACCCCATCCACTACTTCTCTCCCCTTTTCAAGTTGATGCCATCCTAACGCATCCTCTCCCAACGTTAAGTTAAACTTATATCATAAATATCAATGACCAAAAGTCAATAAATTTATTACTTCAAATTTTAATCGCATAATCTATATATAGTATGCTTAGAGTTGAGATAACTCAGCAATTATTTGAAAAACTTGAAAATATATTAAAATCTCAAATCAACTGATACAGTATCCATAACATTTAATTTATATTAGAAATCAATTTTAATAATTTGTTAATAATAATTAACTAGAATAAAGCATGTTATTTATGTTGAAATTAAAAGTTTCAATTACAGAAAATGTTTCAAAATCAAGCCACAGACTGAACAGCAACAGCTGGCAAGATTTCCAGTTTCGATATCCAATGTTGATACTGGCTAGTATCGATACTTTAAAACTACATGTGATATTGGTATTGATACTTTTGTTACCACAAACATCCCTGGTATAAAGAATTTAATATTGTAAGTACAGTAGAGCATCGATTATCCGACCCCCGATTAACCATCACATCAGTTAACCAACAGTTCTAGTCGGCAAATTCAAATGTCTGCTAGTGATGTGGTGCTACAATATTTGGCTATGTCTTGGCTACTTTAATAGTATTTTTATGTGTTTTAGCTGGCAACATGGCTCAACCATGAAAGGGAGCCAGTATTTAAACGAGGCTTAATTTTCTAATTTTTAATGATACAATAGCAACGATTATTATTTTTTAAAAATTTTTGTTAGGCTTAACTCGATGAAAATACAATGCAAAGTAGGTTAATAGCGATATACTAATATACTAATTACATGAGATATACTAATATATTATACTAATAATGTATTTTTCCATATTT